GTAGAACTGGGTGTTGTAGTCACCCAGGACTCTCATGCAGAGAAGCTTGAGCGGTTCCAGGAAGCAAGTTCTTGTACTGGGAAAGAGCTGACTTTGCAGTTCTCTCCAGCTTTTCTGGATTTGGCATGGGATCCTGGAACCGGAAGATTTCAAAGAGAATTGGGAGAGATGAAATCTTCATTCCTGTGTCCATCGTTAGTAGTGGCCAGCGCCTAATGATTGCACACCTGTGAACAGGCTAATGTTCTGGGCACCAGTTGGGAAGAGAAACAGAGGTGTATAGGAGTCAGGACTCCACCCAGAAGTCAGAGGGAAGCCAGATGGCTGTGTGTGTGCTGGAGGCACATTAGACTTGTGTGCCGTCAAAAAATGCGTTTAGTTTCGCTTCATTTTGGATTATCCGTTATTTCGTAATTCGTGTCCGAAACTCAATTCGGATTCGTACGAAATACGAATTTTCGTTAGTTTCGTCACATTTTCGTACCGTTGCGAACATTCATTATGATGAAGTTTAAAAGCAAAAATACCTTTGTTAATATTCGAGTCGATGGTAGTTTTTTTTTATACGAAATACGAAATTCCGTTGACGAATTTCGGATCCGAATCCGAATTCCGTTACAACGGAAATGTGACTGTTTGGTTGACCAATCAGAGGTTTTGTTCTGCTGCTGAGGGTTGCATTACAGGCACGAAATACGAAATTCCGTTAACGGAATTTCATATTTCGGATAAAAAAAAAATCTTGTCATGTTGTTCAAGTCGATGGTAGTTTTTGTTCTATCTGAAATACGAAATTCCGTTGACGAATTTCGGATCCGAATCCGAATCCGAATTCCGTTACAACGGAAACGTGACTGTTTAGAATTGGGAGAGATGAAATCTTCATTCCTGTGTCCATCGTTAGTAGTGGCCAGCGCCTAATGATTGCACACCTGTGAACAGGCTAATGTTCTGGGCACCAGTTGGGAAGAGAAACAGAGGTGTATAGGAGTCAGGACTCCACCCAGAAGTCAGAGGGAAGCCAGATGGCTGTGTGTGTGCTGGAGGCACATTAGACTTGTGTGCCGTCAAAAAATGCGTTTAGTTTCGCTTCATTTTGGATTATCCGTTATTTCGTAATTCGTGTCCGAAACTCAATTCGGATTCGTACGAAATACGAATTTTCGTTAGTTTCGTCACATTTTCGTACCGTTGCGAACATTCATTATGATGAAGTTTAAAAGCAAAAATACCTTTGTTAATATTCGAGTCGATGGTAGTTTTTTTTTATACGAAATACGAAATTCCGTTGACGAATTTCGGATCCGAATCCGAATTCCGTTACAACGGAAATGTGACTGTTTGGTTGACCAATCAGAGGTTTTGTTCTGCTGCTGAGGGTTGCATTACAGGCACGAAATACGAAATTCCGTTAACGGAATTTCATATTTCGGATTAAAAAAAAATCTTGTCATGTTGTTCAAGTCGATGGTAGTTTTTGTTCTATCTGAAATACGAAATTCCGTTGACGAATTTCGGATCCGAATCCGAATCCGAATTCCGTTACAACGGAAACGTGACTGTTTGGTTGACCAATCAGAGGTTTTCTTCTGCTGCTGAGGGTTGCATTACAGGCACGAAATTTCCGTTAACGGAATTTAGTATTTCGGATTAAAAAAAAAATCTTGTCATGTTGTTCAACCTCAGTCGCAAGGGTAATATTAGTTCCCGTTTCAACGAAATTCGGATCCGAAATTCGTCAACGCAATTTCGTATTTTGGATACATTCGGAAGCATTGCAATTCGGATTTCGGATGCTTCTGAATTTACGAATTTCAGGAAATTCGTACGAATTTCGATTCGTAACGAAACGAATCGCACATGTCTAAGGCACATGGAAGACAGCCGAGAAGGCTTGGAGACGAGGGATGTGTGTAAGAGTAGCACAGGAGGTGTGGAAACTATTGAGAGATGCTAACCAGTATTGATCAGGGCTGTGCTCTGTGGCTCTGTTAAGGAAAAACCTTAATGTCCAGGGACTGGGACACATGGAGTATGTGCAACAACTTAAAGTCAGTGGGGTTATGTAATACGTTCTGTTTGCTGAAATAGAAGCGAACTTATGTTCTTGTTATGTTATGTGTTATTACTGAAGAAGCTATGTTTCTGTTCTAAAAAAAATTAAAGACTGTTCTATTTTATGTTAAAGTGGCTTTGAGACTGGTCTTTGAGTGCTCACCATTTGTGCTAACTTCCCCAAACATCACAGTACCTAACTTTTAAAGTACAGCTAAATGCTTCTTTATCATGGTCTAAACAAGTACCAAATTGGGGTACTATGGGATGCACAGATCTCATAAAGTAAATGGAAAACTTCCTTTACCTTCCCTGACTGAGCCAAATCCTCCTTCATTTGTGCCTCACATGCTCCCCCTCCCAGTCACTGCAGCTCACAGTGGGAGGGTTTCAGCAGCACAGTCAGTTGTGTTAATCCAATAAGCAGCGGGCAGGACTAGTTTTTGTCAGATGCCCAGTGACAAGGTATAGGTTTGTGAATCAGCAGTGACAATTCTGATATTACAAAACACAAAAAATCCCCAGCACCACTTGTCAGCCAGCCTGCAACAAAACAAATTACCCTGACTAACAGTATGCGTTAAAAACAGAGGTTTTAGTTGCACAAACTTTTGGCCAAAAATATGTAGAAGCCACACCGCCGTGCCAAGGCACCTCTGCAAAGTGTGGTCCTAACTCTATTTGTATGAGTCTCCAAGTGTGAGCATATTAATGCAGTCGATAAATTAGATGCAGGTGTACCAGGAGGTAGCCTACTTTTGTTTGTGCTTTTTGTGTTTTGTATTGTTGTAAGCCTTCCCATGTGCACCCTGCTGCAAAGGCTGGTTATAAATTCATGCGGTTACCATGTTTTTCTAGTTTGACAATTCTGATATTCCCTGCAACATTTTTTTTCATTTCACTGAGGTGCAAGCAAGCACAGCCTACATGAGAGTTACAACTCTGCTCTGAATTCAGGAGCATTGTTTCCACTCCAGCACTGGAAGTTGCTTTGGGTGGACTTCACTGGCAGAATCAACACGTATTTGTGGGACTTGCAGGGGGACTAAGAGAAAAGTATAAGTGCTGAGGCACTTATAATTAAGTGCTGCAGCATATATGTTTTTTTAATGGGAGTCCAAAGTTCTACTTTAAGACACTTTCTTTTAAATTTTCTGTTTTACTAAATTTTAGCATAGACACAAAAAAGGGATGGTCTTCATGGATAAAGGAGCCTCATGACAGTTGCTGACCAAGTATAGGGCTGTGGTTTCCTGTAATCCAGATAAATAATCATTAATATTGAGAGTCATATTTGATGAGCAAATAATTGTCATGGCATGCCCACTCATTTGGGTGCCGGTAATTCTATTTGCAAACGGTGATAAGCTCAAATCAACAGATGGGCACCCAGACATTAAGGTATTGATCAGCTTTGCCTTATCTACAAAGCCATGCTTCGCTATCAAGCGCCAGTCATGACGTAAAAGCCCAGTCACGGCATTTATGACTAATAAAGAAGCAATGGACCGCAAGGCAAGGCAAATTAAAACATTTCCTTTATCATACAGGAACCATGCACCATGGAGAGGTACAGGTATAAATAGTGAGAAGGGTAACTACTCTTTCCCACTACCACCATCCCTCCGACAGACAATCACTGGAGTCTCTCAAGGTAGAACTAGCAGCACCTAAAGAGTAAGTACAAAGGTATCAGCTCTACAACACCTAGCCGATAGGTATCAATCAATGGCAAAGTATATTATGATAATTTTTTGTTATTTTATTGTTTATCTTAAAATAGTCTTTGATGTGACTTTGATATTGAAAAAAGCGTACTCTTCTATATTTTTGTTCTTGTTTTACAAATTTACATTTATAGATTAGTCAGTAGAGGGAGCACTCAGTGGGTCAGTTACATCTGTATCAGCTACCTTGGGGTTGCATTGCACTCCATGAGTCAGCTGACACATAGGCATGTTTTGTGGGAACGAACAGTAAAGCACAACCGTTGTGCAGCAATGGAGTATATGTAATAGGCATACATCCATGTACAGTAAATATATGATTCCAAACTATGCACAAAAACAAGGTTTCTTAAAAGATTAACATACAATAATCTATTTTTTGCATGTATATCTGAATTTAAAAACAATCAATGAGAAGATTAGAGATTGGTATTTTCTTTCACCTTCACTTTCAGTTAAAGGGTCACTAGGGCATATAGAGAGGGTGAATCTCCTTAAGGGGCCGGTTCAGACTATATCCAGTATGTTCCAGCACGGTCAGTGGTGGTGCCATTCATGTAAATGGCACTGCAGACACGCCTCCTGTCCACCATCCACTATCACCCGCACCAGAACACAAATGATAGCAATGCCCTGTGTTCTGGTGCGGTGTGATCGCAAACAAAAAAAAAATTACATTACATGTTTGTACAATGAATAATGTTATAAAGATAATTGGGTGGCCGGATCATGCCTATAGACAGCATTAGGTACTTAGAGATACTATGACATGTGTAGCACATTGTTGTTGGCTAAAACAGAAATTCTGGGTGTTGTAAGCTATTAACCTGGACATGAACACTGACAAAATATAAGCTGCATACACACAGGGGTGAATAAATAATATCGAATTCAGGAGCCAGTCTATCCAATCCAGAAGCGAGCAGGATTTTTTTTAGAAGACAGCTCCATTGACAATTAGAGAACACCTCAAAAGTTATATGCCAGCTGTCATTTTTAAGGAGCATTGGCTACCTGGCTCCTGAGATTTATACAGCCCTGCATTAAATGATACAATACCAAATACTTAAGGCTTTGTATGCAAATGGAAACATTTCCACTGATACTGTGACTTGCTTACATAAAGGAAGCTTGTATTGTAACGTTTAACTCTATTTCTTCTTAATATTGGAATATTTATGTTGTGGTTGATATTTTACTTTATGTCTTTCCAGAATTATGCCTTTGACAGTGGTTCTCAGAGCTTTGGTCGTCCTTGTTGTCTTCATTCAGCTATCATGTTGCACTTCTCTTCCTGCCAGGTTAGTTGATACCTAGAAAAGTGTCTCATTTTAGGTTAGGTGCATAAGGCCCTGGAGGTACTTTGCCAGTTCTAACCCTTCTCCACTCTTTCCAAAGCTAGAAAAAGGTTTTGGCTCGATTTGCACTTTACACGGTCTACAGGGGGATGAATTTTAGTCAGTGGGCCTGTAGCATTAGTTGCTAATTTTTGCCTAATTTTGTATAGAGTGAAGATAAGTAAGAATCTATGTATGCTCGTTCTTACTGTTGGGATAATTTGCCCTTAAAGGTGAACTCCAGGCATAAAAACTTTAAATATATTAATCTCTAAACACTATAAAGGATACAAATCCACTTTGTGTGCACCAAATGCCTTTACAAAAGTAGAAGTGACATTATCACTGTGCTGTACAGAGCATAGCTGTAGGAGGGGCCCAGCAGGCCTTTCCCATTACAGGCAGCCTGCAGAAAACTACAGGAGGGAGCGGAAACAAGACCAGTCACCCTGCACAAGGAGAGAGAGCAGCAGTGACCGGTCTTCATTACAGGAAGCTCCTGCACAGAGGCAAAGTTTCACACTGGATTACAGTATAGATCTAGAAGAAACACACAAAGCTCACAAAGTTTTCAGTGAGAACACACATGACTCTTGTATTTCGACAATATTTGCTTATCCAGAGTTCAGCTCTACCATCACCAACATTGAAATTGAGGGAGGATCTCTCCAATAAGGACACACACAGCAATAATACTTTTGTTAATATAGTACAAAAGAAAAGTAATCTGTCAGGTTTAAATTGTTGTCTTTATACCCCACTAGGGAGATATGCCCTCACATGGGAGTCACTAGGACAGGAATTAAAGAGGCTGACACATTTATATGAGAAATGACTGACACATTTATAGAAAGCAACAGAAACGTAGAAAAGAGTGTTTAATCCTTTACCACTTGGTCCAAAACCACAAAAAAAAGAGTTTGGCTAGAACTGCTACCCTCTTTCTGCACCGTAGAAGGAACTTCTGATGCATTCATATATCTCCCGTGCTCATGTCTGTCATTCCATGTCATGCTACAGTCCCCCTTCGCCCTCACACAATGCAGTCCTTGGTGCCTGTGCAGCCAATCGCTGGCTCAAAAACTCTCATTGTCGCATCAGTTCCAGTGCAGATCAGGAAGGTGGGCATGAGTGAAAAACATTTAAAAAAAAGAGATCCAGGTGTGCCTTATACACAGAAGGTATATATTAAAGGGTATCTATGGCCAAAATCTAAAACTAAATCTGTATTTTTATATTGAATTTCCATGGGTTCTATCCCACTTCTAATAACCGTATCCATCTAGCAGTTGGTAAACTTACTTAGCCCATAAGATGTACCTCCTCAATGCGCTGGCACAATTTCACTCAGCCCTGTGAGTATGCACTTGTGTCACAACTCTCATACAGTCTGCCCTCTGAACTACAACTCAACTTCTGAACAATGCAACATTAGCATTGCTTGCTAGAAGCAATGCATGATGGAATACGTAGCGATGAGAAGACAGATGAGCAGACAGAAGGCAGCGCTCACTACATAAAAGGGATTTTTTCAATTAAACTTTGTTTGCATTATCAGAAACAACTCAAGTATGTATTCCTATTACAATGCTGATGTTATAACAGGATAGTGTATGCTGGGACTTTAGAACTACTTTAGGCTCAGTTCCACCCAGGGACTGCTGGTCTGAATTATAAACTGGCTTCTTCTCTCTTAGGGGGCAGGATTGTCCCTCTCCTGCACGCTCTTGCAGGAAGTTTTATGAGTTATTTTTCACATCACTGCAGATATTGTCACACCTTCACCTGAGAATTCTAGTGCTAATATTCTAGTGCTAATATATTGCCATTGGAGTCCAGAGATACAGAAAGCCAGCATTCAGCTGGTCACTACTAAAATGAAATAATATTTTTGGTTGGAGTTGGCTTTTAAAGCTAAACTCCAGGCAGACAGACCTACTAGCACGCATAGCTATGTATCCTTTAAATAGACAGTAAGGCCTCATTTTCACTATGTGATTTGTGATTCTTGCGGCAGGAATCCCAAATCTCCCATTTAGATACGGCCGCTATCACCCGTTCAAGTTCATGAGCAGATGACAGTGGCAGCATTTGTAAGTGGCAGTCTGCATGTAATCATATGCAATACAATTTCAGGTGGTTTGGAATAGATCACTGTCCTGAGATGCATTTATCATGCATCCCAGGACAGTGATTTATTCCAAACCGCTTGGGGGAATAGGTGACAGCAGTTGCATCTAAATGGTAGATTTGGAATTTCTGCGGCAGGAATCCGAAAATTGAATAGTGTGACTGTACCCTAAATGTATTTTTAAATGCAACTAGCATGAGTACCTGAAATTATCTTGATGTCACCCGTGAACAGAAACTCTGTGGCTGGGTTGGCAGGCGCAAAACTAGAAGCCAGTCAGATAATGCTGCACTACTCATGTACTGGTACACGCTAAAAGGAGCTTAGGGGTGACCTTATTAGCGTGCTGTGGCTCCATTGTCCAATCAGTAGGCTGAGTTTAGGTTCTTGCCCAAGCTATTCTACTACTGCAGTGGTGGTTGAGGGTCTGGCTGTGTTGTCTGGCAGGGATGACTAAGTGACGAAAGTGGCAAAATTAAATCCTTGGGCAGCTGAAACCGTTCCCATATAAGCAAGTAGTCTGCTGGCTGCTTTAAGGGAGCCCAAAAATATTTACTACCTGACAAAAGCAGGCCATTAACTGTTTAGAAATTGCTCAACTCTGTTAATATCTCTTACAGGTTTATTAATTAATGCAGTACAAAGGGCAACAATGATATGCAGATTTATTTTCACCATTACGATTATTTTACAACATCTGCACTTTACTTGGTGCCAGTTACGTTAGTCCTTATTCCCCAAATCTAATGCCCTATTGCATTCATACATACAGTACACTAAGGGCAACTTAGGAGGAAGCCAACCAGTGTGTTTTTATAATGTGGGAGAAGCCCTTTACAAACACAGGGGAACATACAAACTCCATGCAGAGAGAGTATCCCAGGGAAATTATGTTCCATTCACCCAAAGCTGCAAGGCAAGAGTATCAAACACTCAGTAACCATCCCATACACTCACAGATGTGACAATACAGTTGGTTTGCTTTATGATAACTGTGCAGTAGATGTGCTTTGTAAAAAAAAGCACATTGCTATTACATTTTTTTAAATAAAATTATGTTTTTGGTAGCTAGAATTCAATGTATCCCATTCTTAATATAAATTACATTATATACTTTCTATACCTTATTTCATCTTCATTCTCCCAATATTTATATGTATTCTGCATTCTATAAACAGGAATAAAAGACATGTGGATGGTATGTTTACCAGTGAGTACAGCCGGGCCAGGGGGTCAGCAGCCATCCGAAAGATCATAAACTCAGCCCTGGCTGGGAAAAGGTAAGAACAAATCCAGTATGATCTTCATTAAGAGTAAGACATCTGATTATTGTAAAATGCTGCCATTGTTGACTTCCCTCTGAAAATGCTACAGGTTTCCTTTAATGATATAATTGAAACAAACTTTAATGACAATTTGGTTATTGCAGGTTAATACAGTGCTTTTTGTGCTGTGTTATGAATGAATGGATCTCATTTGTCTAAGTATCTACAGCTCACAACACATAATACCATCTAATTGTACAATCAACTTTAGATTTACTAGCAACTATTTCATGCAAGGCCCTACATAACAATACATACAATTTTGTTCAATTAAGTAGGCCTCCACTACATATTTGAGCCCTTTTGACTCTCATCCAATAGCTTCCTTAGCTCAATGAAGTGTCATGTAACTTGAAAAAAAACTTTCTTTACAATGTTGAAGCCCTTTTGATTCTCATCAAATAGTCCCCTTAGCCCTAATATCTAAAAGTAGTTAGTCACATACTACTAAACGTTTTCTGTGATGTTGAAACTCTTTCGACTCTCATCCAATAGCTTCCTGAGCTCAAATAAGTGTCATGAAACTTGAATAATTCACACATGGTTAATGTGAAAGAATCAGAGCAGTGAAGTCAGCAGCTTGGCTGAAAAGATAAATTTGGCATCTGCATAGGAACTCCATAGAGACATCTCTATAGGGAGATCTCCTTTGAGACTAGAACCCAGTGTTTCTGGTCTCGAGGGAGATCTCCATGTGCAGATGATTATTAAATGTTTCATTTATCCAGGTCATGGTTGTAGTTAGCCACATTCAGCTAAACGTTTTCTACTATGTTGAAGCCCATTTGACTCTCATTGAATAGCTTTCTCAGCTCAAATAAGTGTCATGTAACTTTAATAATAATATATTGTTAATGTAGATGAATCAGGACAGTGATGTCAGTAGCTTGGCTGAAAAGCAGAACTTGGACATCTACAGAGAGATGTGTCTATGGAGATGTATATGCAAATCTATCATTTATCAAGATCATGGCATAGCTAGTAGTTAGTCACATTCAACTGAACTTCCTCTGGAATGTTGTAGCCCTTTTGACTCTCATCCAATATCTTCCTTAGCTCAAATGAGTGTCATGCAACTTGAACAATTACACAATTCCTGCCCTTCATGACATTGTGGTGATTTGAATATGTAATAGAAACCAGGTATTTTTAAAGAAAACCTTCACACCTCCCATCTTCTTGGACAACAAACTGCCTTGACAAGGTCCATAGTAATTGCAAAGTGACTTAAGCTGGCAATACACTGGAATCATTTCATTTAAACATTCAGAACATCTTGTCAGAACAGTTGATAATGCCATCAGAGACTTGATGAACGGCATTCAAAATTACTTTTGATTTTAATATTCGATTTTTGGAACGAATGGAGTTTCCTGAACAAAAACCACATCCGCTGTTAGAATTTTGTTCCTTTAATACAAAAAATTCCATTCTGCTCTAACGATTTTCACTATGGTCAAAAACAATCACCTATTGGCCCCTTATTAAATATTAATAAATCAAACCAACCTTAAGAATCTTTTTCAAGCAAAATTCTACTAATGTATGGCCAGCTTTAGTTGCCCGTGTGGCTATAAATGCCGGGGTACATTCCTGACACTGATTAGAGCTGAGAGAGCTGCTTGGATGATGAGAGGGAAAATGTCATCAACATTACAGAACAAGCTCAGTAAATGTGACTAACTACTACTAGCTATCCTATGGAGATGGTTGCACTGTAGATCTGACACCCTGGCTAATTCCACCCAAAACAGAGAAGAGTAATTTAGGCAGAGCTCTAAATATTTGCCAGGAGCACATTTTACTACATAAAACAGTGAGAGAATATTTGTGCCAAGACCTTGTCACAAGCTACCATTGTTTCCCATCTGTTAGTTTCACAGAGAATAAAACCGGTTATAAAACCGAGGAGCCCAGCTGAGGCACCCAGTGAGCAGCCATTTTGTCTCCACCAAAGCAGCTTGTGACCTTCTGAGAAGTTATTATTTATTTAGCTCATTTCATTAGATGCTTCCTGTGGTCTATGAATAATGCTCTCTACTGATGGAAGGGATACATATGACGTACTGACTGAATGTACTGCAAACGTTTTATAAATACATTTCACAATCTCAAATGTTTATTGTTATGTGTAGCAAAGACATAGCTTCATTCTGATATAAATTGATTCTGTCTTTTGGAGTGTACAGTCTATTATATATGTCAGATTGAGGTAAAATGTGCTTGCCACCTAATGTGCAAAGGTGGAAATCCAATATTTTACAGCTGCACTCAGGGCTCAAAACTTTCATTTAAATATATATTCCACAATAGCCACAAAGGATATAAATCCCCTTTTGTGTGCACCAAATGCCTTTGCAAATCCAATTATTATTTGCAAAAAGTAGTGGTGATATCACCAATGTGCTGTAAACGAGAGCAGAGCCCTGGGAGGGATCTGACAGGCTCCACCCACTAGAGGTTGCCTATAGAAAACAACTAGAGGGGGTGGAGACATGACCCTTCACCCTTCACAAGGAGAGGTAGCAGCAGTGATGTGTCTTTATATCGGTCAGGGGAGGAAGGTGAGGCAGAGCCTCACCTAGTATTATGAAGAAAAGAAAAAAGTCTGAAGCTGACAGCTTTTTCCCCATTCAGGGTGGCTTGTAACAGGTTACACAGCAGGGAAAGCCTCCCCACTGTGTATCCTGCCATGGATGGAGCGCTGCCTGTTAATTACAGACAATTACAAAAGACTTGTAACTCCAGGCAAAAAGCTTAACTGTCGCTTCCTGAAGAAGTGATCATGGGGACTTCTTAAGTTGTGATTGTTTTGTTAGGTGATGCTCCAGTTTCAGACAGCCGCAGGACAAGTGCAAATGTAAACAGTTGCAAACTTTCACAAAACATGCGCAAAACACGTGCAATCGGGGAAATAGTGCAAGCTCTGGTCAAAACAGGTGCACATGTTAAAAGGAGAGGCTAGACAGATTTGCACATAAAAAATGATCTAAGAGGCTAAAACTGTCGCAATTCCTTTGATAAATTCCCCCCATTCAGTGGTGTGTGTGCTGTACACATTCAATGGTGTGTATGTTGTCTGCTGTACACATTCAGTGGTGTGTATGTTGTGTGCTGTGCACATTCAGTGGTGTGTATGTTATGTGCTGTACATATTCAGTGGTGTGTATGTTGTGTGCTGTACACATTCAATAGTGTGTATGTTGTCTGCTGTACACATTCAGTGATGTGTATGTTGTGTGCTGTACACATTCGGTGGTGTGTATGTTGTCTGCTGTACACATTCAGTGGTGTGTATGTTGTGTGCTGTGCACATTCAGTGGTGTGCATGTTATGTGCTGTACATATTCAGTGGTGTGTGGTATGTGCTGTACACATTCAGTGGTGTGTATGTTGTCTGCTGTACATATTCGGTGGTGTGTATGTTGTCTGCTGTACACATTCAGTGGTGTGTATGTTGTCTGCTGTACACATTCAGTGATGTGTATGTTGTCTGCTGTACACATTCAGTGGTGTGTGCTTTGTGCATTCTGTTATGTGCTGCCCTTCTACTGCATCACAACCTGACAAAGCACGCCATACTTATCTGAAATTGATAGACAAAGCTGTGAATAACTGATCTCTAAGCACAAGATCAGATCTGACAGGGAGTATAAAGATGGCTGGTACTATTTTGGGAGAAAGCACTTAATAAATTACCTCCTAGGAAGTGCTAATTGAAATATGTGAACTTGGTTTAATAGGTAAAAAGACCAGCAGACAAATGTCCACAGCAGATAAACATTTTTAAATCACTTCCAGCGGTACTTTGATGCTCAGATATATTTAACCCTAGACCATTATGTACAATATAATTCTAGAGCACTGTGAATGGTTACCTACTTGCATATATACATACTAATATATGTGAAAGGTTAATCAAATTGCAATACTGGATGCCTCAGTCTGTGGAGAATCCCGAAGAGCGGGTCACTCAGCAGCTCCTTACATCTAATGGAGGCCAGGGAAAAGCCCCCGTCATGTTTCAGCATATGTCCCCCTTGAAAGAATTACATGGGCAAGCAAAAGAATCTTACTCCCCTTTCTGCATTACCTATAGCGTAACATAAAAACAGTAAATACTTCCTTCAAAAATGAGTAACTATAATTTTACATACAAACTACCCATCAGCTTTTTAAGCAACAAATCATTATATCTGACGTGTGCTGAGAGAAATAGAATTGCCATTGCTGACCTCCCCTTCTGAACATACTAGTTACTCGGTTGTCACGCTAATCTAATTTCTTTAATTCTTCCTGAGCTACTGATGTGGAACGTTAATTTGCTGCAGTAACTGAGAAAACATTAAAGTCATTAGATCAGCATTAGATCGACATCAGCCCGGCAATGTTTAGAAGGAAATTAGCAGATGGCAATGGTTTCCTTTAAAGCAAACCTTTACTGGAAAAGCTAGTAAAATGAAATGTAATAATTTCTTTGTTAGTGTCTATTATCTGTACCAGACACATGTGATATTAATATTAATCAATGCTCATCATTTTATTACCAGGTCGGATGATCAGGCCCTGAATGATACCCCACAAAACCAGCTTTGCTCCGCCATCTTGAATCTGCTTAGTAGGATGTCCCTTCAGTCACCACAGCTGTGCAATACACAGGTACCTAATTAAAAAGACAAACATATTCTTCCCACTCTAAGCCTCCAACGGCCTGCAGTGATATAACTAGATTGCAGTATACAATGTCACAGTACTAGTGTTATCTGCCCACATGTTGATCTAATGCCTTCTCTTGCTCTTCGCCTTGGCATATCTCATGTGTAAAGGTATCACGCTTATCAATGGGAACCTTATCTGAGAACCTGCCAGCACCAAACCTAAAGCTAATGCATAGGGAAAACAAATGCAGTTGGCCATGAGGGAAAACTTGGGCGAAGGATGCCTGCCATGGTCATGTTGGGTCTAAAAACATAGGCCTACTTGATCAAAGGATGTCTGCCATGTGTATGTGGGATCTAAAGACATAACCCCACTTAGACAAAGGATGTCTCCCATAGTCATGAAGGGCCTAAAAACATAGGCCCACTTGGCAAAAGGATGTCTACTGTGGTCATGTAGGGTTGAAAGACATAGGACCACTTGGACAAAGGATGTCTGCCATGGACATGTAGGGTCTACAGACTTAACCCTACTTAGGCAAAGGATGTCTGCCATGGTCATGTAGGACCTAAAAACATAGACCGACGGGGGCAAAGGATATCTGCCATGGTCATGTAGGGTCTAAAGACATAGGACCACTTAAGCAAAGGATGCCTGGCATGGTCATTTAGGGTCTAAAGACGTTGGCCCACTTGGACAAAGGATGTCTTCTGTTGTCATGTAAGGTCTAAAGACATACAAATATTTGCCAATCTGATTGTAAATGTCCAGATGGTGTGAACATTCTCTGATACGAAGGTACATTTACTCACAAGCCAAGGAGGTAGATCCCAACCATCAGCTGTGAGTAAAAAACAGCCAAAAAAGACAGAATCTCCAATACATTAAGCTGTCAACTAATTTTCAGTGTGCCCAATATTCTTCTTTAATTGGAGCACAGGATTATAATATTATTACCGGATCCCTACAGGGTTAACGAGGCCTAGCGTTTTTAATTAGGTCTCACTTTAGCATATCTGACATGTTTTATAAAGGAATATAAAAATCCTTGTTAGATTTCGGAATCAATGCCGATGCAGATCATTTCAGTAAACAAAGCCTTTTGTCTGCATACGTCTAACCATGCGTCTCTATGCGCCTGTCTACCCTGCCATGGAAAAATACCCCTTTACACAGCAAATAATGAGATTATTTTCTAACGAGTACGTCCAGGAAGCAGATAATGAAATAAGACGATAATCTGTCAGACAACTACATCCCCTCCACCCTCCCCGACACGTGCCTTCTGCGGCCTGTTACTGCAAGGCAGAAGGATTAAAGAGAAGCCAAGCGCAGCAGAGGATTCTGGGGCTGCATGCATGTGTGTCGCTGCCAGCGGAGTGTATGAATGATGAATTCATATTATGAGGTCAGTACATGTGACAGACACATGTTTATATTCCAGCTGATTCTGGATGTCAGTATACAGAAAGTCGGAGGGGGCTGGTAGCTGCACAGAGGGCACAATGGATTTAGCTTAAAGGAAAGTAGTATTTATAGCAGACAGAATAGATAGAAGATGTAATAGCTTGCAGAGGTGACCATGTTACAGTGTGAGATGGGAAAGAAACAGTACATATACCTCTCCTCCTTCTATGATGGGAAAGAAGGGCCCTTATTGGACCAGAATATGTAAATGAAAGCTCAAGATTTGTTAATTATGTTAATAGAACATGAGTATTTGTTACCCCAAGGTTATACTATATAAATGCAGATATGTGAATGGGCTGTGAATGGGCTGTGAATGGGCTGTGAAAACCCCACATCAAACCATCTAGATATAGTTATTTCAAATAATATAATATTAGAGTAATCTCAAATTTTATGCATTATTAAACATCAATAATATTATTAAATATTAGCGTTGACATTTTCTGTAAAGGTTAACCTTGACCGTATTGCTTCCTTTCTTTCAAGCCTCCCTATTGGTCATCCTAGTGTGGCCCAATGGGGAGGCCTTGGAGGTGCCAAGATCCACTTGCACAGGAAATCTGCATAAGATTTCAGGTACCTCTATCGCTAAGTCATTCTGACATGCAGTTTCCATTAAAGGTAACCTCCATCTATGCATTTTGTCATCACTATGCACATGCTCTGAAATGTCTAGTTTTGTGACAAATTCACTTTAAAGGAGAACTATGGGGTCAGTGTTTTTCCCCATAGTTCTCCTTGGGGTAACAGGAGGACACAAACTAGCGTCCTCCCGTTACCCTAAGCTCAGTATACCGCAAGCTGTAGCTGTATACTGAGACGCCGCAGCCGGAGCGGATCCTGACGTAGATGACGGGATCCGCCCAGCTGCGTGAGTGACAGCTGGCTCGGCCTATCTAGAGGCAGAGCCAGCTGTACCCGCCCCCTCCCCGTCCGTTCCGCCAGTCAGCGCTGGCAGATCGGAGCGGGGAGAGGGGAATCCAGCGCCTCCCCTGCCACGGCAGAGAGCCGTGACAGGATCGAGAGGTGAGCGAACCTGGTATGTGTTCGCTCACCTCCCGATCTACTGAGCCGACCTGTGACAGTCTCATTGTCACAGGTCGGCTAGAACTATGAGGTGAGTGGAAATCACTCATCTCATAGTTCTTCTTTAAGAAGCTCTTTGCCCATTGAGCATCTTTTTTTTTCTTCATTTTTGGATTACCAGTCCTTTAATCAGTCTGCTAGACTTTATTTGCATCCGTAAATATTTCTGTGATCTATACTTAGTTTTTGTCCTATGCAGGATTACTAATGGATCACACACAAGCCTGGAAGATGTCTGCTACAATCAAAGGCCAGGAATACTCACCTACAACTACACTGTCTGCACTGATGTAAAGGATGGATTTACCTATTAATGGAGTACCAAAAGCACCAGAGGACAGAATACATATTTATTTAATTTGCTTTAAATGCCCCATAGCCCCGGACATGTGCAATATATATTACTATAGTTTGATCATGGACTTTGTGGAGGGATCGCCAATCTAAATAATGGCACATATATATTACAGTAATAAAGCCTATCTATCCTACAATACCAATAAATATGTTGTTTTGAGTGTTTTCTGTGAATTCAAATGGCTTTCCCATGGCAACATGATACTATAGACTTAAATGTCTTGTTCAATTACGTGATTTCCTAACATGAGGTTTCCAAAACCTCCTCTTTGATACTGCCTCATTAGAGTCAACAGTGTTTATAGAAATATATTTGATTGGTAGAGTTGACTGGTAGAATTTGAGGGTTAAAGCTTCTATTTAGCCTTAGTACAGTAATTCTGTCATAGGGACCCCTAAGTATTCAATATCAGGCCTGGAGCTTTCGGAATACCTAAAGGAAATCTTACACAGTTTTCCATAATCTCCCTCCTACACATTACAAAATCACTTTACAATAAAACTATGGTCATTTGCAAAGATTCTCCTACCTTGGAGGTATGCAGACCCAAGAACTCAAGCATAAGGATTTCACCAATAGATTCTCCATGAGATACAGTATATGAAACTGTTGTGTGGTTTTATCTCTCCAGAATCTACCAAACATTGAAATATCAGTAGATCAGCCTTTCCCAAGTAGGGTTCCTCCTGAGGTTGCTAGCGGTTCCCTGATCAGTGGGCAATAGTGAATTGATCTCCTACCTACCCTGATCACCAAGGGACACCTATAGACTGACCACTAATAGGCAGTCCAATGGACCATTGACTGACTCATTTTAGGGAACACTACAATTTTTACTGTGTGAGTTTCTTTTTTGTTATTATTATTCACTAATTGCAAGATTGGTAGTGAAAATCTTGTACAGACCAAGAAAATATCTGTAAAAAATAAATCAAAGCAACTGGACTAGCTGTATTTTTCTTGAAGACGTCATCCGACTAGCTTTTTAAATTCTAAACTGAGAAAACTGGTTGGATGACCAGCAAAACGTCCTTAAGAAAAATACAGCAAGTCTGGTTGCTTTGATTTATTTTTTACAGATATTCAATGACTGGGATGAATGAGAACCTTCACAGACCTACAGAGCAAGACGTTGAAAAGGATTATCTACGCAGAGGGTCAAATATTAGGTATACCTATTTATTCTTATATTCAAAACATTCTACAATGTAGTGATCACACTAATGTACCCTGAATTATAGGTGTAATATTTTTAGGCATAAAATGTAGCAATGCAAAACAGGAAGTACAGTCTGTATATATAACAGCAAACATTTTGCACCCCCCTCCCCCATGTACATACTGTTAATGCTTACAAACTATGCATTGAAATAAGAGGTTTTTTTTACATTAACACATGATAGTACGATTATTTACATCAAGCTGACCTTGTAATATCAATAACCATTAAATACATTTGAGAAACGCTAATTAGCAGCAGTTATCCATTAGCCTTCTCAAGACTAACAGCCTTGACAATGTGCCGCCAGGCGAGAAGCAGCAGTATTTGGAACACTCTGCATATGTGTCATGTAGATATTTATGCACGGTGAAGATGGCTTGCAGTATAAGGCTAAAGTAGACCTAGTCAGATACATTTGGTTTCATTATCCAAAGGCAAATTGGCTGTTTACTTTGCAACGGAATTTGCACTTTGCCAGGGAAGTTTCCTTTTGCCTTGGTGAATGAGGTGAAGCTTTGCTGACTTCCATCATCCAATTACGTGCGAACAAAAATACTGTTGTTTTTTTTACTTCACTTGCATGTAATTTGGTATTCTTTGCAAAGTGAATTTTCACCACATGCACTAAACTAAGAGAAAATTCCCTTGTAAAGTGACAGGATCTGTGAATGGAGAAACTACAACAGCCACCGCGGCAGAGGGACTGGAAGTTCTCAATGGTATACAAGTGCGGTGATGTCATCTTCAATAAGTACGTTTACAAACTTCAAGAGCCATATGGTCAATATGAGTGAAATAGAACTTATGGAAATTCAATATAGAAATGCATACTTATTTTTAATTTTTGACCAAAGATACCCCTTAATGGAGGAAACCTGTGCAAACAGAGGGAGAACACACAGTACCAATAAATATAATGTCCAAAGTTGATGCTGGACCCCGGGCTCCAGATCTGCCAGATAAGAATGCTAACCATGTTACTATGCTGCCCATTCCCACTGCAAACGGAAAAGATAAACACAATAATCAGTAATATCGATCTTTATCGTAATATCTGGCTTTCTCATTAGACTGAAGTTCATATACACTGCCTGTCGAAACAAAAGGTCACACCCTCTAATATTTCGTTAGCTTCGATTAGGGCACACATTTACCGTGGCATTGTTTCGATAAGCATATGCAATGTCACATTTATTTCCATCCAGAGTTGTATTCATTTTTCACCAAGATCTTGTAGTGATGATGGGAGAGTCGGACCACTGCGTAAAGTCTTCTCCAGCACATCCCAAAGATTCTCAAAGGGGATAAGGTCTGGACTCTGCGATGGCCAATCCATGTCTCATGTTACCTGATCCACTTTTACCACAATTTGAGCCCGATGAATCTTGGCATTGTCACCTTGGAATATGACCATGCCATCAGGGAAGAAAAAATCCATTGATGGAGAAACTTGGTCATTCAGTATATTCAGGTAGGTAGCTGACCTCATTTTTTGGGACATAAAATTGCTGAACCTAAACCTGTAATCCAATTGAAGTTTCTGACCTATTTATTTAGCTAAATCCAGGTTGTGATTTGAATGTTTTTTGGCCCAGGCAGTGTATTTGCCATTTTGATTAAAATATCTACAAAATATCTATGCAAAAGCCATTATCTTTACAGCAAGGAAAGCCATTCAAAGCACATATTGATTTTTGTGTAATTGACTTTTCAGTAGAAAATGTTCTTTGTCTTCACAGCAGAAGTTGTGATCATGATAGCAGTAGTTACAGGCTAATTAACAGCGCCTAACCAAGCCTGCAAGAGCCATCAAATGAGAAGAGGGTTCAATGATAGCCTTGTGCTGACTCAGGATACGTGATGCTATTCATCAGTGATAGCTGAAAGCAGTGCAGTTTCCAAACTGACATTTATCCACTGACCTTGCCCCCCCAAAATGGGGGAATTTAAAGTGCAACTGTCATTAACTTCAAAACCTATCTCTGGGGAAAACAAACTCCCCTTGTGGTAGAGCTTCTCCAACACTGCAAGGGTTAACTGATTGTTTAGGTCTAGTTTACCGGGGCAAAGGACGTTTACATACCTGATCCCCGCTCCCACAGTTTACTCAATGCTCTGTTGGTCAGAGGCCCCCCGACGTTATAAAAGTAAAATGCAGGGCCCATAGACTTGTATTATACAGTATGTGAGGACGCAGAGGGACAGCCCACAAGATAGAGTGTAGGGAAGACGAGGCAAGTGCCGACTGCCAGGGGGAGTGGGGATCAGGTAAATAAAACTGCTTTACCCTCATATATTAGACCTAAATGAGCAGTTAACCCTTGCATTCCAGAGGGTAGCCGGCTGGCTGCTA